TCCTTCAGTTACGAATGAAAGATGGTTAGAAAATATGCCAGAGTGCTTAGCCAATACTTTGTCCCGATTTCTGCTTTAGCTCAAATAGGGCCTGAGATATCGTTCGGACAAGCAAGAAAATAAACAAGTTGACCAACCCTACAGTACTTTCGCCCGCGTTTCGCCACAGCGCCTGGAGAGAGAGGTGTACAAAAATAATCTATTTATACAGTGGCATAAAACATTTAAACTTATATATGAACTCGCTCTATAAACACAAGCGGTCTTCTCTTTCGAACCCTGCCAAGAATGTATCCCCCCATGCTTGATGCGTGTTGGACGCCAAATGTAAGCCTTAGGCACCATAACAACCTTGTTATTATCTGCCTCCCGGATTCCAGTGCATAGCCAAAGTGCTTTTTGAAGTATTGGCAGACGTATTACGCCGTCTACACGCTCACCCATCACCACCTGGTCATGAACATAGATCACTCTCACGCATGTTAGATGGAGAAGGATAAAGGTACGTTCACACGGCCGAAGACAGACGATATGCGACGGCGCGGTGGGTATTATGATTTACTCAGGGAAACTGTCTTCCCTCTAGGATAACATTCGCATGAGTCTAATTAGATGTGAATCGAATATAGTGTGATCTATCAGATATGTATTGTTATCCTAACTCACTCGTCCGGACAATTTGCATCAGAATTTGTCCGTTCCGGCCTTGGTGTGAACGCACCCCCTAGAGTGACCAGGGGTCACGAAACTACGGCCAGCGGGCCGGATCCCAAATCCTTCCCCGGCTCGTGGTAGCTCCGCCTACGCTCTGACGTTACCAGAGCTTTCGTTCTGGCTTGCAAGTATTGAACAGAATGATTACTTTACTTTTATCCTCTTCGCCACTGATCGGCTTGTTAGCCGCTTGGGCGATCGGTCACGTCTCTTTTCATTTATATTCTTCACCAAAAGATCGGCTCGCTAGCCGCCCGGGCGATCGGTCACGTCTCTGTCACGCACTGTTGGCAAATACTGGGCATGCACCGGCTCCTGAATGTACCTGAACCCGCTCCAGTGTTGGTCAAGTCTTCTCTTGAAAGAGCTCACACTCGGTGCCGTCACAACACTCTCTGGTAGATTGTTCCAAGAGTTTACAACCCTCACTCCGAAAAAAGTTTGCCCTCACGGTTTTCTGGACTTGCGGCTTCTTCAATCTTGAGCTGTGACCCCTTGTGGGGCGAGCGTCCGCCAGCTCCAAGTAAGGACACTCAACTGAGTAGTGCCCCTGAGATGCTTATAAACCTCAACTAGGTCCCCCCTTGCCCGTCTGTAGTATAAGCTAGGCAAGTTCAGGCGCTCCAATCTCTCAGGGTAGCTGAGGTGCCGAAGTGCAGGCACCAGTTTGGTGGCCCTCCTTTGAACATTTTCAACCAACTGATAGTCCCTAGCATATCTCGGGGACCAGATGGGGTGACAGTACTCCAGATGGGGAAGCACTTCACTCCTGAAGATCGTCACGAGGGACGGACCGTCTAGATATCTGAACGACCTTCTTATAAGACCCAATAATTCATTTGCCTGATTTACCTTCTTCTCACAATGGCCCGAGAACTTCAGCTCATTGTCAACATACACACCTAGGTCCTTCTCACACACAGTCTCAACTAGTACATTTTCTTCATCCCGTTGGGACATATGATACGCCTCCTTACCGTTGGTACGCCCCAGGTGCATCCTCTTACACTTCGTGACATTGAATCTCAGCAGCCATTCCTTCGACCATTCCTGGAGCCCACAGAGGTCCTTCTGCAGCTCTTCACAGTCCGCTTGGTTCTTAATTTCCCGAAATAACTTGCCATCATCGGCAAACATTTGTATGGAGGAGTTTGCGGCCCGCGCTCGTCATTCTTTCAGTTATCCGGCCGACTGTGAAAAAAGTTTGGTGACCCCTGCCCTAGACTGAGAATCCGAGTGAATATGTCATTATAGTGCCAATAAGTGAACCGATTCATTTAATTATCTTTGAGTAAAGAGTATTTTATAAACAGGAAACATAATAGGTACTGTTTAATTTAGATAAGGATTCTAATTACTTAATTATTTTCTTAAATAAAAATCTACGGATTACATGTCATTTAGTCATTAACCACGATATACAGGTATAAATATAGAGCGCGGAAAATCCGACCTCTGCTATTTACTTCCTCCAACCACTTTTATCCTTGGCAACCTATCCTATCGTAATCTAACCTACCCATCAACAACGTAAACACTAATATGCATTAGAAAATCAAACAAGTTTATCTTTGAGTTGATTAATCTTTTAGATGAAATAAGTTGGTGGACTTAAGTTTCAGGTGGCCTAGTTTTTGCTACGCAACAGTGAATGGTATATTTTACAACCTTCGATCACTTGTCGAGTCCCGAGGGTAGGTGGATGTCGCCCAGAGTAAACGGACTTAAGTCCTGGCACCACGCCCAGTAGCTCTTTACTGTGCTACATACGCTCGCACTATACCTTCTTATACTGTCAACATTTATATATACACTTACCGGCGTCTTCAACACACCCTCACCACTCCATTCGTACACACAAACAAAACGTCAAACCTTATATGTATCAAATTTTCCCCAAGTCCTCAAATTAGGTATTTAATCAAAAGTGGATTAACATAACTCAAGTAGCGCGTTGCAACAAGACCCAAGTGTCATATAACTTGCGCGGGCGCTGCACTTCCAACACTTGCGGTGCCAGTAGCTTACCACCTTCATTCACAGGTAAAATATTGTTTGTCAATATAATAACCTATTTTGGTTTAAATACTCAAAACGATTCGTGACATTCATACCACAATGTACTGACATCAATATATACAATATACAGTAGTACATTATGTATATAAGTTAGCCTACAATATACTGTTTGCTGTAAATTGTATACATATGTACAGTAATACCAGTAAAATACATCCATGCATAACCAAACTATAACAATCTGTTCACTGTAATCAAGACTATTAGCAACTTTTCTTGTTCTACATCCAGAAATTATAGCATCACAGAAAATTTTTGCCATATACACGTGGTGTATATGGATAATGCACAGTAGTCACACAAAACGCTACTTGCCATGCCGTTCCCACACCAATACTAATGAAACTGTAGCATTCACCGGTAATCGATGGGCCAGCGTCTAAATGTCATCCCTACAGGTCTCTTCTGGCCCCAAGTGAGTAGTCAAAATCTCTAGGTGTTAAAATAATGGTACCCCATTTTATCCTGGCAAAAATTGGGTAAAGCTCGCCACACACACAAATTATTGCTAAGACTTGCCTAAACAAAAAAGTACTTAACTTTCAGCTGTAACAGTGGCGTCAACATCATGTGACCATGAGGGATATTTATAACTATTTTAAATAATTCGCAATGGAGTTAATTGAGATCTATCACAATGAAACATCTTCCGATATTTCTGTAATTTGGCATTTTCTCTCTAAACTCTATTACTATGTATCTACGATATTCATTTATACCATATAATACTACTATTAAAATTAAAGACACTGGGTTTTAGTTAAAATAGCTAGATTACTTTGTTATTATAGTCGTTATTGGATACTGTCAACCGTAGCAAGAAGCAACTAGTTCCCGCCAGTTGACATTATCAGTTGTAGTAGTAGTAGTATTAGCAGTGGTATTAGTAGTATAGTAGTAATGACTGGGTAATTCATAGCCTTCATTTATGTAATTATCATAAATTTACATGGGGAAATTGGTTTCCACAAAAACCCTTTGTTTATGCTACTTTCTTCTCAATTTGGTTTTGTCGACTTCTTTTTTCACAGCACATATCAGAACACAAATAGTCCGCTGCTCTTCCTCCGCGGTGAACATGCTCTTCTGAAATCTGAGGGAACCAAGGAAATTGGACAGTCCTTGAAGAAGAAACGCCCAGTTCAGGTTTGTTTGGGCTGTCTGAGCAGAAATTGTGCGTGCTTAGCATCTTTAACAGGCGAGGAATTTTATTGGTATTACTCTTAAGGCAGAACATACCATACAAAAAACTCAGATCAGACAACAATGACCCTAAATGGATAAATAATTATTTAAAGAACATCATTGGCCAAAGGAAGGCTATAGGTAGAAGGATAAATCGTGGCGAAATTCCTTAGCTTTGCATGCGGAATTTTATTTATTTTTCAATTCAGCTTATAACTAACAGCTGATATAGTCAAGAATACGGTTATGTGCAGAAAATAGTGAAGTACATAACAATGTTTAAATTAATTAAGAGAATTTGTAAACTGTATAACAGCTCTTCCTGTTTCGAGTGCTGGCAGACAACCAAAACTTCACGTAGATGTTAATTTTATGTTCTAAATTATCTTTTATCACGACAATATTGTAAGTTAAGACCACATTTTCACGAGAAAAAAATATCTAAATCTTGTTATTTAAGAGGTTCGGGCGATTTAATTCCGGTAACTTTTTTTTTAGTTAAAACATGAATTTTGTTGAGATTAAAAAGAAAGCGAAAAAAGGCTAAATCCACTCCGATATATTTTACTTATACTAGGAAGAAAAATCAATACTTCACCGAAAACTTACACAACTACGCGCGTTTCCTAAAAGCTTACTGCCAAGTTTGATAAATGCGCACTTCTCCAAAAACAAGAGACGCGATCAAAAAATTAAAAATGGGGCTTGGAGATCCTCCCCTCCTCTAAAATAACTGTATAAACATACTAATAAATAAATATATTAGACTATGAAATAGAAATAAATTAAACAAATAAGAGAAAATATATATGCTGTGTGTGTGACAAGGAACGCCACTCCACAGGTCGTTTAACTCTTCTCCCGCTCTCCACAACCACTGGTAGATCCTTGGCATTTCCAAAATTCTGTTCAGCTGTATTACTTTATATTGTGCATAGTTGAATACAAACAATATTTGTTCACTTTATACACTCGCACTCGCGTGTATCAAATGCTGGAGAATATGAGAAGTTTCGACTCACCGAGTTGAAGATGATTCCTCCAGGGAAGTTCCGCTCTGTTAGGCTGCGCGATAGTGACTGGGCCTGGGCGCATGAGTTCTGTTTGACAGTACTCTCTCTCTGGAGCTGGCTATATTGAGCAGAGCGGGTTGGGTTATATAACGCAATATGCTGTATAACTATTCGTGTTATTATACATACTTATATAACTATATTACATATTATTTATATAAATTGTACATACCGGTAATACAATAAATACATACATAATATATATATATATATATATATATATATATATATATATATATATATATATATATATATATATATATATATATATATATATATATATATATATATATACGATCTAATATCAGACTATTTTCTAATTTAAAATGAAGATGCCTTTAAGTTACATTTAGGTTTTCTATGGAGATTTGACTTTCAAGAGAAAAACAAATTATGTAAACGCCCGGCCTGGAAGTAACTCTTCGAGATAGTCGAAAGATACCACCGCACACCATCTCAAAAAATTATCTCCCTAGTGTACTGTAGATGACAAGGGACAAGACTAGACTAGACTAGACTAGACTAAAGGCTAGTGACAGGGGGGAAGGAGGTTCAGTGGGAGTTTAGAGAAAGGATGGAAGGGGATTTTAGTGGGAGAGGACAGATGCCGTGGCTTAACACAGCGTACGTGGTGTGGTGAGCGTTCATGTTTAACTATTCTATTAACATTCTTTTCATCTGTTTTCGAATCAGTGGACGAGGGGCACAATTATGATGTGGCATATCTCGACTTTAGCAAAGCCTTCGACAGAATCCCCCACAAAAGACCAATAAGAAAAGAGGAGGCTCATGGCATTAAAGGAGATATTCTAAAATGGATTAGAGAGTGGTTACAGGACAGGAAACAGCGAGTGAGCATTAACGGCTCTAAATCCGATTGGAGCAACGTCATTAGTGGAGTTCCCCAAGGCTCAGTACTTGGATCATTATTATTTATTATATACATAAAGGACATAGATATCGGCGTAGACAGCAACATAAGTAAATTTGCTGACGACACTAAAAGAGGGCGTGTGATTAAATCTGACGAGGACTCCGCAAAACTACAGGAAGATCTAAACAAATTTTTCGAATGGTTTGGAAAAGGGCAGGTGAAATTCAATGAGGACAAATGTAAAGTACTCAGTATAGGAGATGTAAACAGGGAAACCAGATACCAGATGAACAACGATGTTATTGAGAAATCCGACTGCGAGAAAGATTTAGGAGTAATGATAAGTAGGAATCTTAGGCCAAGTAAACAATGTGTATTTGCTCGAAACAAGGCTAATAAAGTACTTGGGTTCATACAAAGGAGTGTTAGTTACAAGACTAGAGAGGTCATCCTAAAATTATATCTTGAGCTTGAGACCTCACTTGGATTACGCAGTTCAATTCTTGTCACCGTATTACAGAATGGATATAGAATCCTTGGAAAGAATTCAGAGAAGAATGACAAGGCTAATCCCGGGCATTAGGAACCTCGAGAGACGTAGAGCGAGGGGCGATATGATAAGAGGTGTATAAATGGAAGTCGGGGTTGAACAAAGGGGACATTACAAAGGTTACTCAAACTATCCAACCAGGAGCGAACTCGTAACAATGGTTTTAAATTAGACAAATTCAGATTTAGGCGAGAAATAGGTAAACATTGGTTTGGAAATAAGAGTAGTGGACGAGTGGAACAAGTTATCAAATATCATCATAAACTCGAATACGCTGGATAGCTTCAAACATAGGTTGGATGGATATATGAGCAATAGGGGTTGGGTGTAAATGGGACTGCCCAGTATGGGCCAATAGGCCCGCTGCAGTTTCCTCCATTTTTATGTTCGAGGAAGCAGCAACCTGCGGGGAGGGGGCAGGACCATGAGTCAGGTGAACGTCAGGTCAAACGTCAGGTGCGTGTCAGGTTGGGCAATGGTTTCTCAGTACTTGGTCGGCTTGATTGGGTGTGGTGTTTTCTTGGTGTTTGCTTGTTTGATGGAAATATCTTGGTCTTCTTGTTAGCTTGCAGTTGACGATCTTCTTTTCCTCCTCTTTTTGCTCTCTTGGACCGTCCATTCGCTAGTGTTTAGGTCATGTTCTTCTTCGTGCTCTGGTTGCTCGTAGATGTGGAGGAAGTCGGAGGAGGTGATCCTCGTGATGAGATGTGTCTTTTCATGGTTCTTCTTTTCTTGATTTTTCTTTTCTTTTTGTTTCTTGGTTTCTCGTTTTTTCTTGTCTTGGGCGTGTATGCAAGGAGGGCCTTCTTGTAACCCAATTTCTTGTCGAGTAGAACCTTGGCTATCCTGCATTCCTCCTTCCATTTGGGGCAGGTCCGGTCGGCAGAGGAGTGTGGGCCGTCACAGGTAGCGCATTTTTCTCTGTCTTGGGGCAGGCGGTGTAGCGGAGTCCGGGGGTACCGCACAGGGAGCATATGTCTTCCTGCGCCTCACACTTGTTGACAGTGTGACCGTAGTGCTGGCATTTATAGCAGCGTTTGGGTCTGCAGTTGGGCTTGACTGGCACGGTTACCCACGCCAGTTGAGCCTCTTTGGGTAGAGTTTCGTGGTGTTGGATAGCTTCTTGACACAGCTGAGTTGTCCCTCAAGTGGTTGGTCCAGCTCTTTTGCGTCCATGTGGGCAATTTTGGCGTGGGAGATTACTCCCAGCTTCAAGTTGTCCCACATGTAGGCTATCGTATGTACTTGGATGCCGTTGATGTCGGAGAGCTCCGCGAGTTGTCGGGCTGACCATATTCAGCTAAGGTGATTTTGATGTCTCCAAGCAGCTTCAGTCGTTCCACCTTGGTAATCCCCACGATCCCTTCAGTTTCAAAGAACTTCTTGAGGACTAGGAGGTTTAATTTCTTGGGGCAGGTCTGCTTGACTGGGCGGATCCGAGACACCTTGGAGTCTTCGTAAATGGTCATGGTGAGAGTGTGTGGAGGAAAAGTGTAAAAAGGAAAAGATGCCACATTCTCACTCCCGAGTCTTTGTGGGCTAGGGACAAAAAATTAAGTGAAATGTGTAATTTAGTGTCAATATGTTAGAATATTAAATATTATTATGTTAAGAATAAAATACGAAAGTTAATAATATAATTATTCTTGTTTTGTTACACCTTAAATTGGGCTACATTTTGTCGGGGGGGGGGAGGGGGGGGTACGAAATTACCGTACGATAGTTTATCATACAAGTATGGTACGAAGGTATATCTGAGGTACGGTACGAAATTTCGGTACCGTCTTTTTTCCTTTAATATGAATTACGATAAATCAATCGTACCGTACCGAACTGCACACTCTGGTCATGAGACATCTCTCACGAGGGGGGCTCGTCCCTCTGTCCAGGAGAGTGGTGAGTGAACCATAGCGGTCACACATACAGTACATCGATTTATCCATCACGCCAAATGTACCACGGACAACACCAGGAACATTACTGAACACTTGTATTGTACTGTACAGTGTTGTATTCATCATCTAGTGTACCAGTGAAGCTGAATCCAAGAACACTAGTGGCTCATTACCACCACTGGGTTATAACCAGAACCCAGTACACACACGCACTCTAACACCACAAACACTCACCCACACTCCAACACCACAAACACCCACACACCGCCCCACTATTTTTGACTGTTGAAGCCAGTGAAGGATTTTTTTTAATAATATGCAGAAACTTTAAAGTTAATAAGACAACATGCTGGGCCACCATCAATACTACAACAACATGCTGGGCCACCATCAATACTACAGCAACATGCTGGGCCACCATCAATACTACAACAACATGCTGGGCCACCATCAATACTACAACAACATGCTGGGCCACCATCAATACTACAACAACATGCTGGGCCACCATCAATACTACAACAACATGCTGGGCCACCATCAATACTACAACAACATGCTGGGCCACCATCAATACTACAACAACATGCTGGTCTACTATTACTACTACAACAACATGCTGGCCACATCAATACTACAACAACATGCTGGCCACATTATACTACAACAACATGCTGGTCACATTACTACTACAACATGCTGGTCTACTATTACTACTACAACAACATGCTGGCACTACTACAACAACATGCTGGCATGGGCTGGGCATGCTGGGAACAACATGCTGGGCACTACAACAACATGCTGGGTGCATGCAACAACATGGCCACCATCAATACTACAACAACATGCTGGGCCACCATCAATACTACAACAACATGCTGGGCCACCATCAATACTACAACAACATGCTGGGCCACCATCAATACTACAACAACATGCTGGGCCACCATCAATACTACAACAACATGCTGGTCTACTATTACTACTACAACAACATGCTGGTCTACTATTACTACTACAACAACATGCTGGTCTACTATTACTACTACAACAACATGCTGGTCTACTATTACTACTACAACATGCTGGTCTACTATTACTACTACAACAACATGCTGGTCTACTATTACTACTACAACATGCTGGTCTGCTATTACTACAACAACATGCTGGTCCACTATTACTACTACAACAACATGCTGGTCCACCCCACAGGGCGTCACACTGAGAGAACAAGGATACGTTGTGTCAGAGACTAATGTAAACAGTTTGGTGGAAATTCTGGGTTGAAACTCTCTTCTCATTTTATTTTATTTTTTTATCTTATTTTTTATTGGGCACCCCCCTACATCCTGTGTAAGGTGAAGCGTTTACAGCGCCCAACAGGGAAGCATGCTAAGTTCATGCTTGCCTTTATGTCTCATGAGTTAAGAGCGTAGAAGCCTGAAGGGTCGAGGGCGTAGAAGCCTGAAGAGTCAATAGTTTTTTTGTCATCAAGTTATTGGAAGCTCCAACAACTTTCCCTGAATACGAATTCGCAACTTTCGATTTACAACAGGTACCTACTTTACTGCTCGGTGAACAGGAACCAATTGGGGCTAGGAAGTATGTCCAAACAACTTTTCCACCGCCCGGTAATCGAACCCGTGACATCTCGCTTGCGAGGCAAGAGCGGTACCATAGGCGCCCCCTT